GTGTGAAAGCATAAGGCTGTGGCAGTTTCATGGTTCAACCATCCGCATCTAGATGGTAACGGCCAGCCACGAGCGGCAAGAAATACACTCACTGCATATATAACTCCGCATAGCGACACAAGCACTTCGAGCGTATGAGGCAGATGTTACCGGTCGTCGAGCCTCACTGATGAATCCAGTCGGTAGCATCGGGACGAAACGCTTTCTACCTTACCAACCTTCCGAGTGTGAGCCTGGCTACCTCTTTATGTGACCAACCTTTTACACGAGACTCCTCGTTCACACCTATACACACGCATACTTCTTCAATAGCCAAAGGGCCCTTCGCTATTCCCCCACCCTTCCGCTTCAGACCATTGAACATCTTTAAATTTCTGAGTCTTCTATGAAATTCGGAGCCTATAATGAAAGAATTATCACAAAAATTATTTAATTATAATAAATTTTTTTAAGTAATAGATGATACATTACTTTAACATGTAGTATAAATGATTCTCGACGCTCTCGTGTAGATAATTTTGTCAGCGTACCTTCTACCAATTGAATGTCATCTCTTCCGATACGCTTACTTTTACCACTTCTTTTAGGATTGATGAAATGGCATAGCACGTAGAATAATAATGTATCTATTTTTTTAGGAAATATAAAAAATAGAATTGATTAAATCATGTAAACGAATAACATAATTTCCTAGTGAAAAATTATATACATATTTTGTATGTAATAATATATAAGTAAACATAAAGATAATCTTAAAAAAACAATTCAAACTTATTAATATAACTAATTATCAAATGTTATCTGTGAATATTGTAGAATATGCAGTATTTAATTAGCAAATTTGATTAAAAATGTACTGGTTCATTTGAATTTATTTTACTAACCTGTAGTTAAATCACTAGATGTTAAAAGACCAAGCAATATTCTGGACAATTATTACTTTGGCATCTTGATTTAGTATTTTAATAAATGATTCTTTGACTTTTTTCTATTTGTCAATAAAACTTTATCACAATATAATTATCCAAAATAAATGTCAGATTGAAACACTTTTAATTAATAATTGATACTTAAAAATTTGTAAAACGAATTATTAATGAATTAGTTTTGTATCAGTTTTTTTTCCTTCTTAAGTTTGCAGGCATGGGAATTGATTCAGACTTGTGAATCTGACGCCTAAAAAAATTTTTTAATCATATTTTTGAGTTTTCATGAGGTAAAACGTTTTCTCCCTTTTTCCAGATTATGTCTCCGCTTGAAATTTTATTTCCGGATTTTCCGTTTTTAAGAAAATTGCGAAAAAAAATCGGGCGTTCGTACAGCGCGCAAAATGTATTAAACATTTTTCTCCTGTTTAAAAAGAAATAATATCGATAGCGGATGATAGCTCCTTATTCCCGGATTACGAAACAATTTTCCTTTTGTCGATTTTCTATCCAAAATTGAGGAAAATGTAAAAATTAGTACAGGTCAAACGTTTGCTAATCACCAGATATCCCTATATGAGTTCTACATTGCGTAATTATAATAATAAGTAATTCAAATTCTACTCAATTAACCATTCACATTTTATGTACATATACATAAATAATTTTGTCTAAGGTTTTCTATAAGTTTGTCAACATGTCAATTTTATAATTAATATTTTAACTATATAAAATAACATAAATCTGAACAAAGTAATAAAAAAATTGAATTGACTAGTTAAAATTGAAATAAACAATCATTGATCAAAAATTTATAACTTAGTTTTATATTTGTTGAATTATTTAATAACGAACTTAATTTTACTTCCATTCTTCTTAACAATATAAAGTAATAATCCATTGTAGCATATTATAAAAATACTTCAATATACAGGTCAGGTTAAAAAAAACTATATTTGTTTTGTCAAAAATATATTTGTTTCAACGTAGCAACAATTTTGCTAATTTTGTGGATAATGATTACGATTAGGTATTTGCATAAAAAAATATAAATAATCCAACCTTACTGTTTTATAGTTTTTAATATATTTTATAATACGACATATTTTTCACAATGTTTATCAATAAATATTGTATACGTAACATAAGCAAGGAAAAATAAATTATATATTTTTGACAAAACAAATATAGTTTATTTTAACCTGACCTGTATATTGAAGTATTTTTATAATATGCTACAATGGATTATTACTTTATATTGTTAAGAAGAATGGAAGTATAATTAAGTTCGTTATTAAATAATTCAACAAATATAAAACTAAGCTATAAGTTTTTGATCAATGATTGTTTTTTTCAATTTTAACTAGTCAATTCAATTTTTTTATTACTTTGTTCAGAATTATGTTATTTTATATAGTTAAAATATTAATTATAAAATTGACATGTTGCCAAACTTATAGAAAACCTTAGAAAAAATTATTTATGTATATGTACATAAAATGTGAATGGTTAATTGAGTAGAATTTGAATCACTGATTATTAAAATTACGCATTGTAGAACTCATATAGGGATATCTGGTGATTAGCAAACGTTTGACCTGTACTAATTTTTACATTTTCCTCAATTTTGGATAGAAAATCGACAAAAGGAAAATTGTTTCGTAATCCGGGAATAAGGAGCTATCATCCGTTACCGATATTATTTCTTTTTAAACAGGAGAAAAATGTTTAATGCATTTTGCGCGCTGTACGAACGCCCGATTTTTTTTCGCAATTTTCTTAAAAACGGAAAATCCGGAAATAAAATTTCAAGCGGAGACATAATCCGGAAAAAGGGAGAAAACGTTTTACCTCATGAAAACTCAAAAATATGATTAAAAAATTTTTTTGGGCGTCAGATTCACAAGTCTAATTGATTCATCTAATCTAACTAATTTTGAGAAATCTGAGCTAATTCACACGCGAAAAGAACGCACTAAACTAGTTATCAGATTATCCTAAGGTTGAAGGTTATTAGGATTCCATTCAATGTGTTCATCACCTAAGAGAAATATAATAAAATAATATCAGATTAAGAAATTATAATGAAAATGTGAAGAAGGATTAGATTTACTTACCAGTAATTGCAGTTTCTAATTCTTCTTCAGTCAATATATTGTAGGGTCATCCATGTTCTTTCACAAATAATTATTTGTCATCGCTCAACTTTTTTTTGATATAATAATATGGTTCCACAGCTTGCGACAAGCTAAAATATTAATTTTTTTATACTTAGTCACAGTTTGGTTAAAACTAGTTAAATAAGTAGTAAGATATTCATATTTAAAAATATGTGCTATTTCATTAGCTAATATTTCAAAGCGTTGCTTGGTATGCTAAAATATATAATAAAATATAATTTTTTGATTAAAAATATTATGTCTTTTTTAACTCACACAAATTTTCCTACTTGTTCACTTTCATTAACGTTTCTCAAAATAATAGCTTTTTCTCGAACAATGACCAATCTGCACAGTCTACTTATCTGATGTTCTTATACAATGGCACATTAGTAATCTGAGAATTTGCATATTATTTGAAAGTTTCTTTTCCTTCTATTTTTTTCATATAATCTAACAGACCCTAAGAATTTACAAATTCAATTTATTAGTTGAAATATTAAAAGTAGTTATTTAATACTTATGCACTAATATAATCAGGATTGATTGCATAGTGATTTGACTCTACTTCTACGTCATTAATTACATCTGAATTTTGTACCGCTTCTAGGTTATTTTCAGGTAGACTATATGCATTTTCGTAAAGAAAGTGAAATTTATTTGTAATATCTGGCAGAGCACTTCGGTTTTTATTTAGATTCAATTCCAGAAGCTATAGATAAATTGTTTATAATACAATTATAATTCTTGCACTAACTTGCATAGGAAACATTCAATGTACAATTTACCCCTTCACCATTGATTGAAATACTTTTGATAACTAAAACCAATCAATTTACTATTACTTGAAAATAGTGATACTCTAATTATCAAACAATAGTCCAAATCAATATGAAGACATACTTTTTTAATTAATGTAATATAAGATAATATATGTTTTTATAATAAACGTTTACTCAAAATAATAATTAGAAGTAGTTTTATGATATTGAGAATTAAGGTATGATGACATAACTAACTTAACGTTTTTTTAAAAAATAAGAGCAATAAAAGTTTTAAGGTGTAAATATTTGTATATTAAATATATTTTTTGAATGGAAATAAAAGTACGTTACATTTGTTATTGTTACTAACCAATTATCTGATTTTAACAATTTAAAGTTTTTATCGATATAGTAATAATGATAAACAATAATGCAGAATGATCATCCTAGATAATTGCAGTTGGAAAAATCGATGAAATAACAGTTTCAATGTGATCAATTATAACATTCAAATATATGAAATATAAATTAAATAAACTAACTTCCTAATTACAAACTGTAACCGATTAATGTTGTAAATTTATATGTTAACATTGAACAGAATATCAAGTAATGATAAATAAAAATGATAAATTAATTAAAATTTTAGTTCTAAAATATTTAAGCAAATAATTAACTTTAAGTAGATTTATTCATTTCTTCTTAACGGTAAAAGGTCAACTAAACTTTGCTATTTATAATATAAATTATGAATAAGATTTCATATATTAATATCTTGGGAAGTAATATTATTTGGCAATTTTTTCTATATTCATGTGTTTAAAACTATGACTTAATTTTCTTACTAATCTCAAACGCCAGTTGATTATTTATTTATATAATATTCAAAGTTGACAGTTGTGAAACGTTTCAACTTATATAATCACATAATGTATTCCATCGTGTATTGGAGTATTAAGTTGCTTTGTAAAAATTTTAGTTTATGAACAACCCGTGAGTAAGCAAAAAAAATGAAAAAGGTGGCATGACGTGTCTAGCCGTCTAATAATTTACATTATATACAATTTACTATATATATATAAGAACTAGGCTAATTTTAATATAATCAAAATAGTACCAGGGTATTTTATTAATGTATTATTAAATTTCAGATTAATTCAGACCTGGAATCGGATCGTACAAAGTTTGAATCTCAATCTGCAGTAGAGGAAAACAAGAACTCTTCTTGCTCGACGTTGCCGATTGAAAATAAAGATGCTAGAATAATAAACAGCCAGGCAAGTAGCGATAAAATTGAGGCATACCAAAACAACATGGAAGAGCAATTCACGAAAACCCAGAGTGATACCAACGTGGCGTGATACAACCAAATTTATATTCTTTTTCTTCATCATTCTAACAGAAGACTTTATTATTGTATTTTTTCGACACTCCGTGCGCAAAGTGCGTCTTTCCCGCACGCTCGGCAGAAAACGTGCGTTGAAAATCGCACTTTCCACACGTCGTATCAAAAGATACGGTACGGCACATGTTCGGGAAAGAGTTTCTCGTCTCGTGTCCCCTTCCACCCTCGCTTCGCTCGGGTGTAAACGCCACACGAGACCAGAATCTACTTTCCCGCACTTGTATCGTAATGTACTATTATTGTGTACTTTTCGTTTACTCCTATATTTGAGTTTGTAAAAATTATATTTTATTGATGAATGAATCGGCTTCATTTTAAATGAAATTGTAACAAGCTTCAAAAATTTCACTAAAGTTTGCGCGTTTTTTAATAGTGAAGAATATTTTATGATATAATTTACTGAATTAAATTGGATATTTTCAAACAGTTGTATGGAAATTCATATATATCTTATAATATAACAACAGTAATCAAGTAGGCATACATTAGAAATTGAAATTAGTATTCATTTCTATTTTCTGTTATATATATATAAGAATCATCGACGCCAATATTCGTAATTAAATTACCTGCATCAATATTATAAGTGTATAATATATACCTATTTTTTTAATGCTTTCACAATCATAGTTTATCAAATAAAGAAACACGTTGACACTTATTAATAATGAAAACATGATAAGCTTTGCTTGAGTATACTGCCTTTATAATATTGAATATTGTATTTTTCTCTTTTCAAATGTATTTAGATTATAAATAAAATGTTTTCTTACAACGGATGAGATTAAAACCTAATAAAATATATTTGTTAGTTTATGAAACATTTGAAAAAATTTGAATTTTTCTATAATTTCATTTTGAAAAGCCATCAATGAAACTTTTTTAATATGTTAATAAAAATATTATACAATAAGTATAAATAAAACATTTTTTGACAAACTCATCTCAATATTTGAAATTTGAGACTGAGTTCCTCTGCAAATAAAGTTTGTATAAAATTTTGAAAGTATTGATAATTGACGATGTAAGAATTAAGAAATTCATATCCTAAACTTTCGTTTTTTATTTGATCACTTACCGTATTTTATTTTTGTAAGAGATTAGTTTTTTTGGGGGGGATAATGGAAAAGAGTTGCATGAAACTACTCTTTTAATACAAAATCTGTGTAACGTTTCCAAATACATTCAAAATAAAATGTTTCTATATTATCCGATCATCGTGCAGATAATCTACTTTATTTAATAATAATCTATTGCAAGCATTGCCATGGAAACCATTCCTTGCTCGAGTTACTTATTTTTTGACATTACATTCTTTTTTCCAATTTGCAATACATTACTCAAAAGCATTTTCCATGTGTGTAACAATAGTATTTACAACACCCAATAATAAATGTAACTTAAAAGGTGATAATGTGATATATTTAAAATTTTAGTATCTCTATGGCCTGGAGTGATCATAGGATTTATACAGTTCTTACATTTGTAAGCATCTTTTTATTAGATCCTTTTTCACCCCAAGCATTCTAGTAATCTAAATTTTTTCCGAAAGTCCTATTCTTACCGACATTCTTAAGTTCATTTTTATGGATATGACACCATGTAGAAGGATAGCAGCTTGAATGTGATCCAATACCTAACAATACTTTCACGAGTTTCAAATCAATAGCTACATTATCAATAAATTCATCTATATTGAGTTTTTTCTAAATGTTATCAATGTTTTCACATATTTCTTATGCCAATTTAGATAAAGACAAAATAAATAATTTTTTTACATTTTTTGTTGCATTTTTTACATTTTTTAAAATATTGTTTGTTGCTACACCCAAAGCAGCTGCAAAATTCTTATTTTTGCCGCTGCCTAATTTCTTTTGTGCTGTAATTGAATTGGGTTTTGAGTTTACTGAAAGTTTCTATTGTAATTTTTTTTTATTATATGCATGTTTATTTACAATCTGTCTCGCATATTGAGGCAATAAGTAAATTTGATTACAGTTTAGCAAAAAAAATATACATGACGTTTAATAGAATACTTCATTGAGTATTCTATCTTTGTTTTACAAGATGCTTTGTAACGGGGTAAAACCGTTTAATTGTTATATTTGCGCGATTACCTTAAAAAGACACGCGAAATTGTCAAGGCTCAATACGTATTCGGGAGAGCACGAGAAAGTATGCGTCAGTCAACCGATATTCATTGATAACCTATACTAAATTGAGTGGAAGCTATGAGGTACGAGCGAATCGAAAAACACTTGTTAATAATACGAATTGAATTCTTTTTATTATACCTCAAAATCTACAGAAGGTCGGCCCGCGCGTTTGTTTACATTCGCGCTCGCTCATCGGCAACACGCTTTGCCGGTACGCTCGCTGCTCTTCGTTGTCAGAGCCGTTACATGCACGCATCGAATATTAAAAACGAGTTATTTTTCATGCAGTCACGATCGCGAGATTAAGCTGGCCAGCTTACCTTATTTTTGCAGACGGTCGGAGAACAACAAGGAGTAGTCGCACTGCACGAAACAGTCTATTATTGTTTTGTTCGCGGGTCGCGGACGCGCACACGGAGTGGTTTCGCCCTCGATGGCGAAACCTCACACACACACACTGCTTGGTCCCAAGCTGTTGGCAGGATGACTCCTTGGAGGCTGCGATCCCGGATCACTGGCTGCTGCTGCTCTGTCGCGTTGTATTCGTCGAGGATGCGTAATTTGGCGGTGATAATAGCGATAGCGGGCGGACACTATGATGGTCTATGCTTCACTGGTTCGAATTCTACCGCGTGCGTTCCGTCTGCTCGCGTGCCGAATTCCTTCGTTACGTATTTTGTCCCCCCGGGAGGTGCTGCCCTCACAGACAGCAATAAAGTTAAATGGTTAGCGCTAACTTGACGTTTACCGTCACAGCTTATAAAATTACAATTTATTTATTTATTTATGTACTTAATATTTTATGTTTCTTTAATCTGGTATTTGTAATGGATATCTTGAGTAGCTTGTTGACAAGTTTATTCGGCTGATTTTGAAGTCTGGAATTATATTTCTCGTAGAATGTTTTAATTTCTTCTTTGACTGATGGAACTTATAAATCATTCCTAATAATTTTTTTTCTAACGAACCAAGGGACCCGTTCTATACTACGTAGCACTTTCGACTGAAATCTTTCAAATATTTCTATATTCGAGCTTGTCGTAGCACCCCATAGCTGAATACCATAAGTCCAAATTGGTTTGAGTATAGCTTTATATAACAGTAGCTTGTTTTCGATTGACAGCTCCGATTTTCCTTCCGTGAGGCAGTACATTGTCTTCCATTTCAGACCCAATTGTTTGCGTTTAGTGAAGATGTGGTCTTTCCATGTAAGTCTTCGGTCTAGGAGAATACCTATAAGTATTTTACTTGGTTACTTTTTGGGTTGTATTTGTCGTTTAGTCTAATAGATGGACAGGTATTTTTTCGAAGTGTAAACGTTATATGCATTGATTTACTTTCATTTATTGATATTCTCCAAGAGCTTAACCATCTTTAAAGATGGTTATTTGTGTATTTTTGTAATGTTTTTGTGTAATTGTTGGTGCGGAGTGTGGTGTTAGAATTGCTGTGTCATCTGCATATGTTGCTGTTTGAATGTTTATGGATTTTGGTAAGTCCGAGGTGTAAAGCAAATAGAGTGTTAGGCCAAGAACACTGCCCTGTGGCACTCCTGCTTTTATAAGCTGGCGTCTTGATTTATTTTTATTCATTTTTATCTAAAAGACTCTGTTTTTTAGGTATAACTGCAATATTTCATAGTACTGTTTAGAAAAAAACTTTTGAGCTTTTGCAGTAGAACCTTATGCCAAACTTTATCAAAGGCCTGGGCAACATCAAGAAATATGCCAGTGCAATACTTTTTCTCTTCAATAGCATTTCTTGCAACGGATATTATTTTGTTTACTTGTTCGATAGTGGTATGATTACACCTAAATCCGAATTGATGATCTAGGATAAGTTTTCTTTGTACTATTATTAGGTTAATTTTGAAAAATATTGGTAGTAGGCTAATCGGTCTATATGAGGTTACAAGTTCTGGTTCTTTACCAGGTTTAAAAAACAAGATAATCTCTACTATTTTCTACTGTATAGGAAAATAACGCAAACGTAAACATGCATTAAAAATAATTGTTATGAACCTTATTGCTATTATGGGGAACATTTGAATTATTTTGCCAATAATATTATTATATCTGGGGGCTTTCTTATTTTTACAATATTATTAATTTATAATATTTCTTTAATTTTAATTGATTTGATACTTGTACTATCTTGGACCTCTGGTGTTTTCAGTAGGGTTTCTTCTTGTTCGGTGATTAATTTTTGGGGAGGTGTGAATACTGTACAAAGATGGCTGAGAACGTTTCAACTTTTTCCTTGTCGGATTTTGCCCATTTTCCTGAAGGCCTTCTGATAGATGTAACTGATCTTTTGATTCTTTTGGTAGCTTTCCATAGTGAATAATCTGTTGCTTCTGTCAGACTCAGAGTTTTGAGATATTCCTACATTTGTATGTTTTTTTATATAACATTTTCTTCAGTTCTTTGGATACTTTGTTTATTTTTGTCTTATCATGAATCGATCTGATTTTCTGGTATCTTTTTCCTAGTGATCTCTTTTCTTGGATTTTTTAGACTATTACATTGGAATTGATTTGCTGTGTTTTATTGTTATTTATATTATTAGAACATTTGTGAATAGCTTCCATTAGAATTAAGTTGAGTGAATCGATATTGCTTTCTATGTTATTGGCTGATTTTAGAGGAATATTACACAATATGCATTCTTCGATGAAGCGAGTATATTTTTTCCAGTCGACTTTAGTGTGGTTGTTTACAGGATTAATTACGTGAGAGGTTAGATTAATCAATATCGGTGAGTGAACTGAAGTTAAATCTAAACATGCTGACATTTCAAAATAATTTTTATTTAGTCCTTTACTATTACAAAGTCAATCAAATCCGGAAATTTGTTTAAGTCTGTTGGCTAGTATGTTGGTTCTCTAGTGGATATTGGAATATAGTTATTTATTTGTAATATTTCGTATAGTACTTGGCCTCTGTATGTTGGAGTTTGTGACCTTGAACCCCACCACGGATCCTTAGCATTATATCGTCTTCTGCTATAAAGTAATTTCCTAATGTGTTGAAAAAGTCTGTCAAATTTTCTTTTGTAATTTTTTATTTGGAGGACAATAAACAGCTGATATTGTTATTGATCCGTCTTTATCCTAAACGATTACACTGGTTGCTTGTAAGTAGATTTTACTAGTGTAAGTGTGAATATAATGGTTTTTGTTTTGTTTTGATTATAATCGCAGTACTATTATAATGTGCTTTATTAAGCAGGTGATTGGTTATATGTACAGTGTAGTTTGGTATATTAAGATAGTTTTTACTTGTAAAGTGTGTTTCTGATATCAACATGATGTCTATATTTTCGTAGATCGAAAATGCTTTTAATTCGAGGTGCCTCTGCATAAGACCGTTTGCGTTCCAGACAGCGAGTTTTAGACTGTTCATTATGCCATTTTGTTTACTAGAATAGTTAAAAGATTTAACATATTATCTATTCTCTGCATCAGCTGCTCCATGACATGTTCGAGTTTGTTACTTGTGTTCAGTTTGTTGGTATGTTTGCTTAGCTTTGTTTGAATAGTTGTTTGTTTTGTTATTTCTATCTCACTCTGATAATTTTTTTTTTATATTACTTGTGCATATATTATGTTTGGTCTAACTCTATTGCCGTTGAAATTTAAATTTAAATTTGAATTTTTATAAGTTTGAATATTGTTTTTATTTAACATTTTTTCTCGTAATCTAGGAAATAGTTTCTGCTGTAATTGCTTACGAACTAGGCATCTTTTATAGTTTGCGGTATGATTTCCTTTGCAGTTTGCGCATGTTACGTTTGGTATTTTTTGTTTAATGGGACATTCTTTAGTTTGGTGATATTCAGCACATTTCACATACACAGCACTCTTGTAACAATAGTTTTTTGTTTGCCCGTATTCTTGGCAGTTTTGATATTGAGGAATTTCTCTTTTATCATTTGGTGGCTCGAATTTGATTACCGTATTTAATAGTCGGTTTACTTTATAAATTTCCTGGCTTTTATAATCATGTTTAATTTC